ATATATAATTAGTCTGCATAGTTAATTTTAAAAATGAATTACAAACTAGAGCTGTGCAATATATTGCAAATGTATGGTCATCTAGTATCAATATTTTAAAGGATTGCTTGGACTTCAGTAATTTATAGCTCAATGATACAGACTTTACATACTAATATATTTAGTCAGTCCAACACTCAGTAGCCTTGATGGCCACACCTGGTTTAGATGGTGCTGTTGATTTATCACAGTTTATATTGTCGCTGCAACAATATCACACATTGCAAGTTTTTCTAATTTTCTGCATCCCTATTTATTTAAAACTGAATACTTGTCACCTCCCGTATCTTTTTTTTTTAAAACTATTTTCTTCTTGTCTTGCTTCAGGGCACCCTGAGGAACATCCTGGTCTCTGTGGACCAGGGGGAGACCTGGAACACGGCTCAGCTGCCGCCTGTTGGTCACGAGCAGTTCTACTCCATCCTGGCAACGAATGAGGATATGGTCTTCATGCATGTTGACGAGCCTGGAGGTCAGCACTAATGTTTATTTATACAGTAATATTGGCAGTTACTGACGATGTGGTCTTCACGTGAGAACGTGTTATCTTATATAGAGAGTCTAAACCAGAGGGTTTTTATTTGTTTTAGGCGCTAAAAGAAAGAGGTGTGTTCAATATTGTGATTTTATTCTCAGGTTTGGCACATTTGGCTTGTAGTAATAATAAGAACTTAAACATTAGTGTAATATTTTGCCCAGCTGTGACTCACAGCTGTAGATCAACTATTTTAATGTGTGACAGTTATAAAGTTATATAGCTTTATTCACAAATTCCCTTTTTTTCAATTAACCATTTCTGAACTTGTAACTGCTTCTCAGTGTCTTTTATTGCTCAACTAAAAAGCCTCGCATGTTCCTGTCTGCAGATTCGGGTTTCGGCACAATATATGTATCAGATGACCGAGGCACTGTGTACTCAAAGTCACTGGAGCGCCATCTTTACACCACCACGGGAGGAGACACAGACTTCACTAACGTCACCTCCCTCCGAGGAGTTTTCTTCACCAGTATCTTGGCTGAAGGTACCTCTGTTTGTTCCTAAATAATGAAAAGGAAAAAAAAAACACACACCTGTGCTCAGATTTCTTTTACAAACACACCCGCACTTGAGTGCTCCATTTCATGCCAGTAGAAGGGTGTGAATTAAATATTTAATTAGTGGTTCAGCGTTAAAAGAGATGTCATGCTGAAGCGGGTGACCGGAGGAGAAAACATTTGATCGAAGCTGCTGCATGGTTTTCAGAAAGAATATATTGCACTATAGCTTGTTATCAGAATATGTTTGCAAATATTTTATTGGACTTATTAGATTTAAATCAGAAAATACAGAAAACATAATTTACTTGTGAATTATCATTAGAGGAAAAATCAAAATGAGCCAAAATAGGAATCAAATCGTCAAAGTTTTGGAATTGGCTGAAGAAACGTTGATCAATGCATCTCTTAAAGGGGCAATATTATGTGTCTCTCAGGCATACATTTAAATACTATACCATAATAAAGTATCTATGTCACCTTTAGTTGTTATTAAAATGCTGTTTTTATGTTTAAATAGAAAATAAACTTATCTTCTCATC